TGCAAATGTTAGTCTAGGTTTAAAGTTGACATACACCCAATACTGTAATTTATATGATGTTATATGCAGTGCAGAACAAATCCATAGAACAACCATTAACTTATAACCTTACTCCAGTAACTAACTACTAAATTGTACCTATTCTGTTAAGAAGAGAGAAAAATCTACTCACTCTAGTAGCAGTAGCAGTCCTTTAAGTTAACATGTTTCCAACAGATGAATTTTCAAGGATGAGTATCAAGTTATTTGAAATAGATATAGTCACGGGTATACATAGTACTTACCACATTGGCTTCCGGTCTAGTGCTGAAATTACTGCTGGTGTCAATAGCAATTCATTCTCCTGCAAGGCTAAGTCCAACCCGAACGGTCAAACGTCAGTCAGCCCGACTCGGCTGGTGTTTCATTTTCGAGGACGCGTGAAACTCGCGCGCGACCACGACGCGTGCTTGTTTCCTCGGAGTTGTTGTTAATTATGCTCGGTCTGCAGCTGATCATGAAAGCATCACATTTATACTGCTATTATCCCAGCCCTTGCCAATCTATTCGCCCCATTTAATGCGTAAAAGCTGGTGATGCCACAAGTGCCCCCTGAGCTAGCTCCATTCTCTCTCGTTTCAACCCTCCTATCTGGATCTCCTTGCCATTGCCGTTGCCATCGACCATTGGTCATTCACCCTCTCCCTACCACATACTATCTTCGGGGTCTACTCGCTCTCTGTGAACACGCAAACCCAATTGCAGTATGGCCGGTCAGGCGGGTACGAAACGAGATGCGGATCATCTGAAAGACCCAGCCGCAGATCGAAAGAAGTCCAGGGTCAACGGTAGCATAACTTCTTTCTTCAGTGTTCCAAAGCCCTCAGTCTTGGTCGAAACTATGCCACCGACCAGGGCCTCGTCCAACTTCGATAAGCAGAAATGGGTGGCGTCATTAAACCCCGAGCAGAGAGAGCTCCTTCAACTTGAAATTGATACTCTAGATGAGAGTTGGTTGGCACAACTCAAGGACGAGGTATTGAAGCCGGAATTCCTAGCTTTGAAGCGCTTTCTGCAGAAGGAAAAGCGATCGGGAGCTAAGATTTTCCCCCCAGAAGAGGAAATTTACTCTTGGTGTGGTTTAAGCCTCAGATGTCAAATAGCATTTTCCAACTAATACAGTTTAGGTCCCGCCATACCCCTCTGCACAAGGTCAAAGCAGTAGTGATCGGGCAGGACCCCTATCACAATCATAACCAAGCTCATGGTTTGGCTTTTTCCGTCCGCCCGCCAACACCAGCTCCCCCATCCCTCGTCAACATCTATACGGGGATCAAGAATGACTACCCTTCCTTCCAGCGACCACCGAACAAAGGCGGCCTTTTGACTCCTTGGGCTGAACGGGGAGTACTTCTTCTCAATACATGCTTGACTGTCCGCGCACATCAGGCTGCCAGTCACTCGAACAAAGGTTGGGAACAATTCACTCAGAAAGTCATCGACTTGGTGGCCCGGGTTCGTACTCGTGGCGTTGTGTTCTTAGCATGGGGGACGCCGGCCGGGAAACGGGTGACAGGCATCAATAGAGAGAAGCACTGCGTCTTGCAATCAGTTCATCCAAGTCCGTTAAGCGCATCTAGAGGCTTTGTGAGTCAGCATTTCGGACATACAGGCGCAGAATGCCTTGCTGATTATTTTCGTGGCTACAGTTCACCAACCAACATTTCAAGAAATGCAACGATTGGCTATCCGATCGGTATGGCCCAGGCGAGATCATCGACTGGAGTCTAAGCTCCAAGAATAAGACAAACAATCCCCTCACCAATATTCAAGGCCCTGCTCCACATGAGGCAAATGGTTGTGAGGATCTAGCGGTGAAATTACCCAATGCTCATTACGAGCAAGTGTCTCATCATGACTCGAAAACCCCCATCCCGACCGAAAATGCCGATGAGTTCGATGAGGATTTAGATGCATTGGAGGTACTGGCGGCAGCAGACTCAACCACTTGAGCGTCAGGAAGAACGACGCATTCTATACCTCTTATGCTTTATTGGCCCGGATACCTAAGTAAGAGTTACAGGTTATTCATAAGTACTCGCCATCATTGAATTGATAATTTCAGGGTGACAGTTGATAAAATGTGGGGTCGCGATACAACAATTCGTGTGATTCTAAGGCACGCATTTGCGGTCATATGGCACCAGGGGCACGTGCGTAGATGCTTCAATGTGCTGATTATTGAACTTATCCCCTAGGGTAGCTCTAGGATTAGGTTACGTCGTTCCGAGACGGGGTCGGAAATTGAAATCAAGAGGAAATCAATGATAGACTGGTTTGACTCCCAGCTACGTACGTACTAATGTATACCTGCCCTCAAAATATGAGCCCCATACACCGAGACATGTAAAATGTGAAAGTCCTGTGTCCCATAGGCCTTGCATACCAGACTTCCTTGGTCTGGCGGTTAGGAAAAGACGCCAGATCAACCTTGTCAGATACGTATGTGAGAAAAGAGATATAAGCTAGAGCGGAAACGGAGAGTAACAGGCTAGATTGAGAATAATAAGATACAATTCATTAGAGGGACCGGGAGCTTCCAAAACGATTAGAGTTCATCATGCTCCACCGCTTCTTCTTCGGCAACTTCCGGGGCCTCGTCTTCAGTGGGAGCTGCAACAGGGGGAGTGGTGACGTCCGCATCTCCCTGCTGCTCCTCAGGCTTAGCATGGGCATCAACCTTGTGCTTACCATTCTCAAAAATGAAGTTGGCGAGGTCCTCAACTGTGCGGGACCCTTCATACTCAATTGGAGAATCCTTGGCGCCGGCTGGGTACAGTCTGATTGTCGGGAAACCAGTGATAGGGTCAGGGACATCGTTGGCTGTCGCATCAATTTTGGCGACAGTAACCTTGGCCGCAAGTTCAGGGTTGTTGACATAAAGACTAGCAAGCTCATCGTACTTCGGAGCAAGACTGTCGAATCTGGTCAGTTGTGTCCGCTTGGCAAATATGGAAACAAAGTAGGAGATAACATACGCTTTGCAGTGCCCGCACCATGGCGCATAAAACTCTAGAAGAACGTCCTTGTCGTTATCAACAACAAGCTCCTTATAAGAGTGTGCCACAACAACGGTCACTGGGCCATCCTGAGTCTCCGGGATAGGCTCTGACTTGATGCTAGGCTCGATCTTGCCATGAAGAACATCTTGAATAAAGATCTCCAAATCTTCCACCTTGAGTTCCTTGGACTGGTCATACGGGTACTTGGCATTCTTCGCAGGATCTTGAATGGCAAAGGCAGGGAAGTTCTGGGGATCGAGATTGAGGTTTCCTGCATGCGCACCGAACATCTTGGCATCAATAGTAGCGATGTTGATAGAGCCTCTGTGCTTCTCCGCGATCGGCTTGAAATCCTCCGTCAACTGTTCCCGCTCTTCCTTGGTTTCGGCGAAAATGTATGCGAGGGGAACGCCGGCCTTCGAGAATATTGATCAGTGGGACGGGACACACAAGCCCACCTTTGAGAGAGCAGGCTTTGGATTGACTGGAACTTTCGGGCAATCCACTTACTGTGATGTATCCAGAGTAGGTCTCGGGTCCGATTTCGCCCACAAGGGGAGTGCTAGCGGTCTTTACCCAGCCGAGCAGAGCCTGTTGGTCAATCTCGCCATCAAAAACTGTCTTTTTCTCATCGAAGTCCTTGTAGAGAACAAAAGCCGGCTGTTCGACACCCTCCACCTTGGCGATGGCAGGGTCACTTGCTTCCGCGAAGAGGTAATTATCCCTCTGGGATTCGGCAAAGGCCTCGAATGCGTCATGTGTCGTTTTATCTTCAGAATCAATGTAACCGATGACGACGATTTTGTCCATAGTCTTGATCTCTTCAAGATTCTCACCATCAACAGGTGACACGGCAGGAAGAGATTGCTTGATCATATAGGACACAATGCTGATAGGTTGAAGGTAAGTAAGGATCTGTTATTTCCCTCACTCTCAAGATAACGGAGAAGAATGATGACAGGGAAGTACTGAGGTGAACTCACGATTCTGCTTGACGCGCACCTTGGTAAGGCTTGCTCGAGTCGGGTCCACGGAAGATCTTCAAAGTCGGGTAGCCCTCAACGCCCTGACTCCGACACAGATCCTCCTCTACAGTGCAGTCGATCTTTACCAAAGGAATATCCTTTGCCTTCAACTCTGCAGCTGCTTCCTCATACTTGGGAGCGAGAGCTTTGCAGTGGCCACACCAGGGCGCAAAGAATTCTGCAAGCACCAGATCATGTTCCGTCATGAAGCTTTCGAACGTGTCCGTGTTCAGTGAGATGACATCAGACTCGGCATCCGCAGCGTCCGCAGCGTACACTACGCTTGATGCGCCGAGGAGGCTGAGAGCCAAGGGGGCGAGAGATCGCATGTTGGCTGAGATGGCTGGCGGTAGTATGAAGCTCGGGTGAAGTCAGAAACGGAAAGCCTTCCTATAATCCAGCTAATGTGGGCGACGACGCCGGGCTCCAATGGAAGACTGAAGGTGCTAGGCTGTCTCGGCCTGGCGACTGGAAAGGAAGGAAGTTGACAGTGTACAGGGTGGATAATGAGTGCTAGGTATTTAAAGACTTAAATAGTGTTTGTGAAGTATGGGGGAACGGAGTTAAGGACAGTCTGTTCTTTCTGCAGTAAGTTGCCGCTTGAGGATGCTGACTGGTTCAAACGGCCCCGCTTAACACAGCAAGGGACCAAGCTAGTGGTACCTGAATTGTATAGTAGGCATTTTGCGGCATTGCAAGTAATATTGCAACGGAATGGTAACTACGGAGTACTCGTAGGTACACGTAACTTCGGTCGGAAAAAGTCAGGGTACTGTTCAGTACACCTACATACAGGGCGATTAGCCCCTTAGCAACATGCCGCCGATGCGGTGCTCTCCATCTATTCCCAAGTTGGAACGGTACGTCGATTTTGTAACAAGAGCCCAGCAGAAGACATCAATCCAACACACTGTGTGATGCAACCTTATCTTTACTTGTGCAGAGGTACGTTCTTATTGGGACAGAATCGACGTGTCTGGAGAACCTATATCGAGCTTTCGACAAGGGGCTCTAGCCCACACCAAAAAAGAAAAAAGAGAGAGATCATACTCAAGACTAACTATTCAGGCACAAGGAAGCGGAGGGGACAAGGAGACAAGATGGAATACACAACTATCCCAATGCTGCTACGAAAGACACTGTTCCACCCTCCATGGCTCACTCACTTTGCATGACTGGTCGTTCACTGTGAGTGGAGACGTGTAAATTCGTTCTAGAACCGAGCGACTGTATCCCCATTTCACCTTCCAATCCAGTCGCGAGTGCCAGAGCATCTCGTTTCCCACGGTCAACGTCGACAAGCAACATAAGAGGCAATGGAAACAAGATCAGTATGGCAAGAAAGACGAATGCGGGTCTTATGTCACCATATCGATCCGTAACGAGTCCAACAACCATCGGGCCAAAGATGCTGGATCCTTTGTCGGTGATGGCATAAAGCGCGTAGAAAGCCGCTTCGTAGCCTGGAGGAATCAATTGCCCGAAGAAACTTCGGCAATAGGAAGACAATCCTCCCATGACAAGCCCGTAGACTATGGCCAGCACATACATCTCCCATGGTTGTTGAAGACCCAAGAAGCCCAATTCCTTAACGGCTGGAATGAATCCTAGAAGTCCATAGAGCGGCACAATCTCAAGCAGCAGAATGCATAGAATGATGATTTGTGATGCACACAGGCCAAAGAACCGCGCAATATAGCCCCAAGAGAATGCACCGAATACACCTGCTATCATTGCAACCACGTTGATCAGGCCCAATGCAGCAGGCTGCATACCGAGTTGGGTTTTAGCGAATAGCACGGCCGTCCCACTCACTGTTGCGATCCCGTCACTTAGAAGAAACCACGAAGCAAGAAACAATAGAATATCTTTCAGATGCCGAGTACGCATTGCTGTCCGGAGGAGAGACTTCCAGGCATATGCAACATAGCCACCCCACGCGCGATGGTTCTTGCTGTGCAAGACATGGGATAGAGGTGGTCCTGGTCGGGAACGCAGCCATATCGCAGCAGGAATCGTGAAGAGCAACCACCAGAGTCCGATCAGAAAGAGAACAAGACGCAGCGAGAAAGTAGTTTGCCTAGTCGCAAAGACCACGGCGATGCATATTCCTTGTAATATCACCGCGCCAATATAGCCAATGCCGATCCCATAAGAAGAGATTTTGGAGGACAGCTCGAGTTCCTGGTTATTCTTTATAGAGACCAGTTTGCGATCTGCTAGATGATGCAACCGACTGGATTGAACCAGCGGTGTTGTCTCCCGAACTTCATGCGGGGGGCCAGATGCTGGGACCTGGATGTCGGTGTAGCTACCGTTTGGGGCGATTGGCCTGAAAGGACTAGCCGCATCTCTTTTGAGCAAGGAAGAGTGGTGGCGGACTAACAAAGGCAGGAACGAATTGAGAAGCACGAAAGAGGCCCCAAAGCAGGTATTGGCTACAATCGCAGACAGCGCACCCAGGATGTAAACTCGCGGCGATATCGCAAGGAAGAGCATTGTGGCAACGGAGCCGGCCAAAGCAAAAAGCACTAGAAGCATCTTGCGATGATTTCCATGGTCTGCGGCGCCCGACATAGACACAATGAAGATAGCCTGAACAAAGACACTCACCGAGAAAGTATACATAGCGAAGCTTGCAGTGTTCACTTGTAATCCTAGAATATTAACCACGCATTGAGCTACAGTGGCTGCCCCAGGTTGCACATATACAAGGGCCGATTGTGCTTGGTTTTGTGGGTGATTCCAACTTGCACTACATGGGATTGTCTGGTCCGATAGAAGGACACCACGTTCCCTAGCCATTTGCTCCAAAGTAATGGGGAGGAACGACCCTTTGAAAGAACCATCAATCAGGATATGCAACTTTTCAATAATGCCTCGGTTCAAAACATACCCATGGCACATACAGCGAAAACCTCTGCAGCCCAACCATAGCTGTACCAGCCAGCAAGCTCTTTCTTACTCGTAGGCCGTGTATCTTCACCGGGGTACTGGGGAGGATCACTCCTACCCACATGATAACCCTGCATGATGGCCCGAGACGTCTCCAGAAGCAGCGTATGTAGCAGATAAAGATAACAGGAGTTATTTCACTTTGTCACGAGCCAATACAGTCTCTGTATTCTCGTTAACACTGAGCAGAGCAGACCGCGATGGATGATCACTCGCAGCAGCTAGTCCAGACAAAACAGGTCGAATGATCTCTTTGTTGATCACCCGCGTTCGAATCGATATCGCGCTGTGCCTACTGTGATCCAAGTTGAAGCTCTCAGAGGTATGAGGGAATCTCAAACGTAGCCAAAGGAGAATGACGGGGGTGTTATAGGCTCATGATATACAATAATGTAGTAGTCTTTTTACTGCGGCAGCAGACGAAGTCTCCAGATTACAGAGATAGCATAGGGAGGGAAATTGTCTGTCTGATAGTCAAAGTGCAAAACCAGCAGTACTGCTGCAACCGACACGCGCTCCGCAACAATATAAGGAGAGCACTGGTGTACGGGGCGCTGAGTATACCATAGTAGTACACTAGTCCTGCTTGGGGAAAAGTTGCTGGGATCTATGGGATTACGTAGCTCCGGCGACCGCTGAGCCAACTGAGGCTGGACCTGGGCTCGTGCATTTGCAGCGCATCGCGCCGGCTTCATTTATCAATCACTTTGCCTTGTTTTCTTACCGGAATATCAATCCTCTGACTGGAGTGTCCCAGTCCACCGCAGTTTTGATATACAAAATATGCTTTAATCTTGCCATAGGTTATCAACTCGTACTGTCTCATACGCAAATCTCCCCCTCCCCGCTCCCAGATCGATAATTCGGTCTCCGTTCTATACGCCATTTTTATCGTGAATCGATCAGCCAGTGCTTGTGTCGCAGTTGCTCCTCACAATCTTGGACACCGATTCCGTTGCGAAAACCACTACCTTTAAAAACACCACATAATAGCTGGTAATATCAGCCAACCATTGAAAAGATCCACTCTTTGAGCATTCGATTCTCCTTGTTTGGATGGAATAAGCTCGCGGCCCAAGCACCGAGTCCACCTGCGCCTACGTTGGCTTGCGATTCTACGAAGCTACAGATTATATATCCATTGCGATACATTCAACATCTTTGCTTCGGTCGATGGTGATACTCATATGTAGGCTATATACCAGACCTCCGGTTTGACTTGTGGCCATCCATCCGTGTTCCGCAATTCTGCATCCCTTCTTGCATCAGCTTTGGCTGCTTTGAAGAGGCACAGTCCTACATCAGATTACTCCCCTTTTCTCGTGCAGAGGGTGAGAAGGGGAGGGCTTAGAGCGACTGAGATCCGGCTTATGTCTTCTGGAACATGCCGGGCGTAGTCATGGACACTGCCAATATCGGCGGACAGATGAAGGGATCACCCACTGACTCGCAGAATGGTGTATCTTGTTCTGCCGGGGAGAAGGCGCCAATGAAAGGCTCTGCTGTTGTTCAAAACGGCTCTCTCTACGCAGCCGGCCTGGAGAAGGGTTCCGCTTATCGCACGGACGCATCGACCATCACACCCGTGTTAGCAAAAACGAGAGAACTACCAGAGCTACCACATGTGACGCAAGGATTCTTTCCCTTTTCGATCTTACTCAATAGATCAGCTCAACAATGCTGGAACGATCTACTTGATTTGATCACGGAACTCGCAGAAATCCAGGTGGCTCCCAATGACCTAGGATATGCATCAGTCCCCATCGCGGGAAAGCCACCGGGGAACCAGTCGTCTGAGAATATACAGAAGAAGCTCCGTGTGCTCGAATTCGCTCACGCTAAACGTGCCGATTTTATCAAGCTTCTCGTTCTCTCTCAATGGGGTCGACAAGCTGCAGATGTCAGCAAGCTGATCGACATCCAGAATTTTATACGTACACGTCACCAAGCATACACAGGAGCGCTACAATGGATTGGAGAGATGAAGAAAGACCTCGTTCGAGCCCAGGTGGCCAATCCGGATATCAGGACGTCCCTAGAGGTATTATCCAAGGGAAGAGTGGCGTCCATGCTTACCGTAAGTTACTTGTGCCTGAAACTAATGCCCCAATCTAACATGCGGTGTGCCAGCTCGGTTACAAGCCTCCCAAGCTCTCAACGCCGAGAAGAGCTCTCAGGAAGCTACAAAAAATCAACAGATTACTATGTACCCGACTTGCACTGCATGATGAGCTTCCTCCTTCCTTTCAAACTTACAGCATTCATGACGGTCGAGTCACTTTTATCGTACCTACTGAATTTGAGCTTGACCTGTCCATTGGAGAAGGAAGTGGGTTGTCACAATTTTTTTTCGTCGACATTCGCTTCCTCTTCCATCCATCGTCACCAATCCCCAAAGGTCGAATCTTTAACGAGCTTGAGTCCAAAGTCAATGATGTACTTCAGACTCGCGGCTTGCCTGGCTGCTTCGATCTATTACACAATCTGGTTCTTACGAACAAGATCAATGTCCTCTTTAAACAAGCCACCGACATGGCAAGGGGACTCTGGGCTGATGTATTGCGCATCGAGCTGCTACATCGAACGGTTGTTGTCCACTATTGGGCACGGAAGCCTGGTAGCAAGAGCTGGTTAGAAATCGGGATCAATAGCGGCCGTCGCGGATCTATTCACGGGAGCCCTTTGCCGCCCTACCTAGGGTTGCGCTGGATAAAAGATGGAGAAGAAGTCAATTCTGGGTTGATTGATTTTGACACGACGAACATTTCTATGGAACGGTTACTTCGAAGTGTTATCGCCTTGCACGTATCTCATACCGTCTCCTCGGCCTATCACAGCATAAGTCAAAGCTTACTGTATTCAACCAGCACGTTGTCCTTACGAGCCCAGCTCACAACCACTGAGCCCGGTAACTGCCTACTCGATGTTCAACTCACGGGAACCAGATACCTCAGGGTTTCTGTGGAGCCGATGTCAGGAGCGAACGTCTTTTCCACTACGCCCAATATCTTGGAGCGGCCTGACAACGATCGGCTAGCAGAAAAACCTGCTGTCGATGACATTGTCACCCGTGTTGCACGCCTCCGGTGCATTGCAGCTATAGAAGAAGTCGAATGCTATTTGCAAATGCTAGGCTTCGACGTGATAAACCCAAGGATATTGAATATAGACGTTCGCAGAGTCTTTCCATTGAACGTTCTGCGCTTCTCCTTCTTCAGCCACAAATCTTGGGAGCGAAACTGGATTGTAGCAGCAACGAGCAGCATGGATGGTGATAACTGGTGGCTTGTTCAGCTTCGACCGGGGGTCGTAGCCAAAAGACATTCAGCATACGATGTGAATGTCGGCAGCCGGCCCGCTTTTCGTTTGGCTCAGGTCGTCAGCAACACTTTCATCTCATCTCGGCTTGAAAAGAGTTATATGTCCTTTGCGAATCTTGTGCACAGTCTATCAGGAATTCTTACAATATATGCCAACTCCCGTTATCTGGCCGACCTAGACGCAATCCAATCATGTCCTCCTGCGCACAAGCTGAGAATCGAGGCTGGCTTCCAGATTCCAGACATTTCACTTCGATATGAACCTGCCAAGCTTCCCAACGCCTTACGCTTAGTTCTGCCTGCAGGAATAAGGCAGAAAGGTTTCATCAGAGAAACCATTCGTCTTACATTCCTTGGTATTGATTCACAGGCAAATCTCGCCATAATTGGGGCCTACGGAAGATTAAATATTCCTGTGAAAGCTTTCAGTGCTCTCATATCCAAGTGGGACCGCTCTTTAGTGTTTCAAGAGAGCCATAACGGCTTTGCAATTCGTCTACTTGCGCCAACAGGTCGACCAGTCATCATTGGTCTCGTTGAAGATCTACAGAGACTCGAATGTGTGTTGTCTATTTTAGATACCTTGCAACGGAAGAAGATAGAGGTCACGTCAATATCGCTGTCTGGCATCTCCTTCACCTATGGACCTGAAAGGGACTTAGCTGCCAGGCTGGAGGTTGACATCAAAAGAAACCCCCCTCTTTCAGAGGCCGATGCGGCCGAGCTTGCGACCAGGTCTGATTCGATCTTCCGCTTGCAGCTCGGCATAAGATTTGACTCCACAAACCCCCATCGTCGAATCCAGGGATCTCTTGCATCTAGCCTGAATCGTACTCCAGCTGAGGCTAGCATGGAGTCCATTGCTGAACTCCTGACAAGCACATTACCTTTAATGCGAGCTTTGGATCATATAATGGATAACACTTCTCGCAACGAGTCCTTAAAGGTGCAGGCGACGGTGCGCAACGCCATGACGTATGCTATTCACTATCCTGATGCAAATTTGCACTTTCGATTGGTTGCCAGGATACGTTCGAACCGCCTAGTGTGGGTGCTCAGAAACGTGAACAGCTCCGAGTCTAGTTCCGACCAGGTCAATTCTATGTCCAAGGTACAGCAGTCTCTGTATGATTCCAAAGGCGATGGCTGGAGAGGGCTTGGAAATGGTGTAATTGCACAAGTTGACCGGGTTGGGAATCTTTTGTGGGAACTTCACAGATGCATTGCTGCCTCCGTTCCCAATCCTTCTTTGAATAAAGCTGGTACCAGGGAATTATCGACCATCACGCCCACGCAAGCTACGGCGCTCAGCGCGGTTGCCTCGGGAGTAGCAACGAAACCAGTACGCCAGGATTCGTCACGTCCCGCTCATTTGCAGGAAAGGACAACTCAACACTCTGCCAGTGTTGCTTCAAACACTGCAGATGTCATCATGATCGACTAGAATAGAGGCTTCTGAAATGGAACCCATATTTGCACATGTCCATATTTTTATCAGTCCACTTCATATATAAATGCCTCGAAGTACCTTTATGGATTGTGCTTCTATTTGTGAATCTCGTATGCTGTATCTTGCTTATTCGCTTCCACATTCCTCTTGGAATTTTGTGGTACTTAACCCCAGGTTTATGCTTCCAATGCGGGTTAAGTCCGATGAGTATGCTACAGCGTGAGACTTCAGCAGAATTCAACATTGGTCTCCAAGGATGATGTGATAAATGGAAGTGAAGGTGAGCCCACATCGCGTCATTGCCTTATCCGACAAGGAATGTTCTCCTGTCTCATTGGTCTCGGGAAAATTCTATTGCCTGGTGACATCCTAACCGGACTAATAGTAATTCGGTGGCTAGAGTATCACTCCCAGATTTATAAGTCGCTCAGGTGTCGCATTTGTGCTCTAGCGAAAAGATGACTAGTAACGCTCTTCTCTAACCCGTCCCCGATTTTTGAGAGCGTCATATTCTATCCATTGAACGCAAGTAAGACCACTTGCTGAAACAACCCTTCCTGGGTTCATGAC